TTATTCGATCCAAGTATTTACTAATCACACACATGGACCAGACACAGGGAAGCCTCCAAATCTTACCAAAACGATTTTACTACCCGTGGACAAGTTCATCGAAGCATTTGCGTGGAATCGGAGCAACCCCCTCTGAATTCCCACCCTTGAGGTCGCCATACCATCCGAGAGATCGCAAGTTTATCGCCAGGTCCGTGGTTCGTGTTACCCCGGGCCCGAGACGAAGGTACCCTCGTCTCCGCGTTGGGCGAAGAAAACGGGGTCGACTGTTGCTTATAAAGTAGCTTTCCGTGTTGTCGGCTAACAATATTCACAAAGGCGTGTCCCCCTTTTCCACGCGAGAGAGGAGACAACGGGCCCGGACCACGACGACGACGACGACGACAGCGACAACGACGACGACAGTAGGAAAAGAGAACGACCGCCGGCACGCAACGGGGCCCAGCGAAGCGAGGTGATCGCGTTTGGGCCCGAAGGGATCCGGAACGACGAAGGACCACCTCGATCGAGATTCGGTTTCGTCGCAGAGACTCAATCGTTCGCACTTCACCGGTAGATCCAACCAGAGATAAGGGTAAACGACCTATCCTCGGAGGCTCTTGTAAAAATCCACCGGCTCCCAACGGGGGTACGCTCGATAAACCTTTCTTCTTCCTCCACCCTGGCCCCCCTTTCTTTTTCTCTTGCCGTCGTCGACATTGACGAAGCGTGAAGGCTGGCCAGGGGTCCTGGCGAAATTTTATTGTTGTTTTCACCGATTCTGGTCTTCGTTGGAGGTACACTCGGTGATTCGAAGAGACTACACAGTCTCCGCGCGTTGACGAAAGGGGAAGATAGGTATAGAGGCTTTCCATCACGGATTTCACCGTTGTTTCGGGTGGTTCTGGCTTTTGTCGAAGATACGCGAGGGTGGCTGATGTATCGAGTCTTTGTGAGACTTTCTCAGACGGAGACGAAGCGTGAAGGCTGGATGGATAGGAACGTTTCGTGGCCTTGCAGAGCTTCCTTCCCTTTTCCACCTTCCTAAGTTGTTTCGGGAAGACGGTTTATAATCCTGTTTCCGTTCAGGTGCGCGTTAAAGGTGTTCCAAGTGGCGAGAAGTTGCTGGATCACTTGCAAAGATGCTTCTCGAGACCGGGCCCCGATCGATTAACTCGAAATCAATTTAGCATTCGCTTATAGGGTATTGCGAATTTATGTACGCACCAGGGACGGCACATTCGCTGCCTATTACACCGCTTATTATAATCACCCATTCTCTCTCGCGGCGGAAAAGCTATCGTTGATAGGTATCGCAGACGTTGGGCCAGGATTTCGCGGAAGTCAAGGTTAACCGGATTAAAGGCCACTGTGGCATACAAATTTCTGCCGCGTCTGGAACGAAATGCCTGGTCCTTTTTGGGGGAAAAAAGGAAGATAATAGTATACCTCGCACGAAGCGTGAAAAACGCATCGAGGCCAGGCAAAGGGTTGCATCCAGAGGCGAATGCAACGCGAGGCAGGCTGGCGAGGGCGCAGCATCGTGTCGACACGTGCTGCAGGCCCGTCACACCTTGTCAAACTTCCACGGCCGTGCAATGAAATTTGATGCACGGCCCAGTGTTCTTGCGTATGATAAATTCAGACAGCTCCTTGAAAATCGTGCAGTGAATTACGGTCTTCCCGGGCGCATCCTTCTGACGTTTACACGTGTTCCCGGCACGGCCACCTGTGCGTATTAATTTTGCCGGCGTTTTCAAACGCGTACGAGATCTACGCGTTTCCGGCAAACCTCCTCGACCGGCCGTGTCGCGCGTCCGCCATTTTTTCGCCTGTAAATCTTTCCGGCTTCTGCGATTTTCTCGGCTCGGTCCTCCCGTGAAACGACTCGCCGTGGAATTTTGACGGGACAAGATTGCTCTCGCCGTGTAATACTTTGTATGTAGAACGTGTTTATTGCACGCGCGAGTTTTTAACCTTCCCCTCCGAGAGAACCCGCAACGAGAATGAATTCCAAATAAATCATAACTTTTTATCATCGATCGGTATCGAAGGTATAAGATTTTCTGAATAACTCTCGGTGCGTTCTTACCGCTAAATGCGCGTAAATTTCTGTCCCGCGCCTTGCAGCTCGCGCATAAATTTCGGTATTAAAGAAGGTAATTGGAGGAATGGCCGACGTCGCGGTTCCATAAGCGCGAAATTGAATTTTGTTTGTAAAAAGGGAATATCGAGAAAAGCTTCGTACAATCGATATCGCGTAAACTTCGTCTTTAATACGAAATAAGAATCTCTCCCAAAGAGATCCTCAATTTTTAAAAAATTCCGCGTAAATAGAGTCATCCTTAAATTTTATTCTGTATATTTTATATACATTTTCTGCTCGGTTTTTCGAGATCGTAGCTAATTACGGTATCGTCTTAGTAGAGTTAAAATTATCCTAGATTTTTTAATTAATAATTATTCCATATTTTTCGACACGTGTGTATGTATCTAAATTTCTCTTTACTCTCTTATATCGTATTTCCTTCGCTCATCTACTTCCATATTTTCCACTTTCCTTGCATCCGAAGTTTATACCGCGAAACCGGTACCAAAGATTCTGCAAACTCTGTTAGCCAGCCACCGATTTATTTTTAAACCACTCATACCGAATTCACGGCGTTGCATCGACATACGTCGTCCGGAACAATGTACATTAAGATATGAAACTAATACGAAATTCCACATACACTGCATCGGCTTTCTCTCGTGCCACGAGCCAAACTCCCGATCTTATCCCCCTTATCGTGGCCGGCCGATTTCTTGCGTCCACGGATTGCATCAATGCTCGATCGATACGTAACAGGCGGTTGTTCGTGGAGAAAAATCGTTGCACGGGATCACAGGTGCCGATCGAAAAGTCCTCTCGATCGGCCGAGGCCGGGTTCCGCTGTTTTATCGGGTAGTAATAAGATCGCGATAGAAATACCCGAGTTTACTCGCGTTTTTTCGAGCTCGTTGCACGAAACCGGCTTACAAAGTCGCAGATTACGGCTATTAAATTATCAAGGGAGATAATTATCATCGATCCTGACAGTCCACCGATGAAATATCGTCCCAGTGATTTTGCGCTTACGTAAAGATACGCACGATACGAGACCCGACCGTTCGCGTGCATCACTCTAATTAGAGAGGTGACTCGTCAATTTCGATTGCATTTTTCGGATCACTGTTGCACGAGTTTTAACCTCTACCTGGAGTCCCTCCATCGTGATCCAACGATTTCGCGGGTGCATGATTTTCCTTTGCTCGTTGATCGGTGAACATTTATGTTTGAATAAATTTATTTAATTCGTTTAACGAGGCTTGAGGATATTTTTGTATATACCGTAGCAGCTGGATTATATTCCTATATAATTCCTTTATTTTTCTTGTATTCGGAAGATTTTATTATTTATTCCGTCTCATTATTAAATAATTATACTTTATATTGGATAATTAAATAATTAAATAATTATTTCGTCTATAGAAAATTAAATATATTTCGGATTTATTCCCTGTTCATTTCTTATTCGTTTTCAAAATTTTTAAATTTCTTTGTCCTTCGTCTTTCTCTCAACTTTACCAATCGTGTTCCTGAAATCTGTCTATCTATCCCTAAGATTGACTTATAGTAGCTGCATTATATATTCCTATATAATTTATCTCACTTGTATTTGAAAGATTTTATTATTTATTTCTCAATTATTTCGTCTATAGAAAATTAAATATATTTTGGATCTATTCCTTGTTCATTTCTTATTCGTTTTCAAAATTTTTAAATTTCTTTGTCCCTCGTCTTTCTCTCAACTTTAACAATCGTGTTCCCGAAATCTGTCTACTTATCCCCTAAGATTGACTTGGAGTAGCTGCATTATATATTCCTATATAATTTCTTTATTTCACGTGTATTTGAAAGATTTTATTATTTATTCCTCAATTATTTCGTCTATAGAAAATTAAATATATTTCGGATCTATTCCCTGTTCATTTCTTATTCGTTTTCAAAATTTTTAAATTTCTTTGTCCTTCGTCTTTCTCTCAACTTTACCAATCGTGTTCCTGAAATCTGTCTATCTATCCCTAAGATTTACTTATAGTAGCTGCATTATATATTCCCATATAATTTCTTGATTTCACTTGTATTTGAAAGATTTTATTATTTATTCCTCAATTATTTCGTCTATAGAAAATTAAATATATTTCGAACCTATTCTCTGTTCATTTCCTTATTCGTTCTCAACATTTTTTAATTTCTTTGTCCCTCGTCTTTCTCTCAACTTTAACAATCGTTTTCCTGAAATCTGTCTACTTAACCCCTAAGATTGACTTATAATAGCTGCATTATATATTCCTATATAATTTCTTTATTTCACTTGTATTTGAAAGATTTTATTATTTATTCCTCAATTATTTCGTCTATAGAAAATTAAATATATTTCGTATCTATTGCTTGTTCATTGTTCATTTCCTTATTCGTTCTCAAAATTTTTTAATTTCTTTTCCCTCGTTTTTGTATTTGAAAGATTTTATTATTTATTCCTCAATTATTTCGTCTATAGAAAATTAAATATATTTCAAACCTATTCCCTGTTCATTTCCTTATTCGTTCTCAAAATTTTTTAATTTCTTTTCCCTCGTTTCTTCCTGAATTTTAGCAATCGTGTACCTGAAATCTGTCTACATAATCCTTGAGATTGACTAATTTGGAATAAATAAATTTGCAACGCGATCGCGTGCAACTTGCGAAATTTAGTGCCTCGATTCGATGATTTAAAGCAACTATACCGAATATAGCTGGTTTTATCGAGCCCCTTTATCGGCCCCCTTTTCTTTTACGCTGATCACACGCGAGGAAAAATAAAAAGCTTTAAGGAGCCTCATCCCCGTTTTACCGACTGTTTTACGTAACCGGTCGCGGTCGAATTTAATTATTTCGCGGATGTCCCGGACGAGCTTCGCGAAACTTTACGAGCCCCCCGTTATTGACTTCCGCTCACCTCGTGTAACTCTCCGCCGGCCGGCATCGTTCCCTGCCTCGTCCTTCGAACTCGATTTTCTTCTTAGAGTTAGGCTGCGTGGTTAGGTTCGTTTCTTCTGGCTGCAGTTACGCCAGACGCCATTCGGGTAGAAGTAGACGCATTTATTCCCGAACAAAGGGGGCCCTTTGCCTCTTTCTCCTGTTTTCTGCTGCCCGGTGTCCGGTGTCTGAAATGTTAAAGGTGGAGATGTTAGGGAATTCTTAATTGGCTTTTCTGATTGAATTTTGTTTACGTTCGTGTCTTTTTGATGAAATATTTTATTTCACTTAATATTTCCTTTAATATCTTCTTTCATATATTTTTGGATAGCTCGATGTTCCGTGACACGAGTTTCAGATTACAAGTTGGGATTAATACGTCGGCTGTCACACAATTTTGCATCAGGCTACGATATGATTTCCATTATAGGAAATAATGAATTAGGATAGCATAATAATGACTTAGGATATAATGAATTATTAAACAATATAATAGAAAAAAGAAAAGAAATAATAGTGCATTTTTGTTTCACAATACCCTTTATTTATTTACATTGTTCAAATTTTTATAAAGCAGACAAGAACTGATCACTGGTGACCACCGTGGCAGTGAAGGTGTTAATTACGATTAATTTGGATATTTAATAGATTATACGTGGAAAAATTCGAGTCTTAGTTACTGAAAATATTCTCACGAATATAGTATATAAAATATAGAATATTCGTGAGAATATTTATTCTCATCCCAAATCGGGAATAAATAAAAAGACAAATTCGAGGAACGTCCATGATCCTTTTTCTTTTTTTTTTTTTTAATTTTCTCCGATTCCTTTTTGCAACGAGACTTGTTTATCGAGGATACCTTTTAATGCAAACTTTGTACGGTTATTAGTATCGTTTCTTTATCACCGGAAGACATTTGTAATTCTGTTTACTTTGATCCAACAGCTCGGAGTTATTACAAAATTTATGGAGTACCATTACCGCGTGGGGTACGACAAATAAAAATTATTAACGCATGAATAAGAATACACGAAAGAATTGAAACGAAACGTTTTCGCGTCCGCAACGCAATCGTTGCCAATTGAATGAAGAGATTGATGAACGCGATCCGAGCATTGCAAAACTGCAACACGTGAAAGGCAGAATTGTTGGAATGTTACTTGTCTCTCTTTTTTTACACGCTCGAGTAATTATACTCGTATGGCACGATGAATGCGTTTGATGCATTCAGATAATATTTATGACGAGAATGTTGCATTTCGTTCCAGGCACTTCGATCATTTCCCGAGTATTTTATAGGAATCCTCAAATTTCCTTGCTATTTTACTAAAAACAATATTCTAATACCTTCAGAAAAATCCGTGAAAAATTTTTATTCCAGAAAATGAAGCTTCCCAATTTTTATTCCAGAAAATAATCATGCAATTTGTTTCATAATTTTCTTCGATTATTGGGCAAAGTATAATAAATAAAAATTGTGATTTTGGTAAGGCAAAGATTCGATTCTAAGCTTGGATAACTCTAGAGAGATCTTAAAATTTTTTAAATTCGAATTTTTATCATTTTTACCATTTTTACCATTTTTATAGAATGGAATTTCTCTTCGAGCTGTAAATGGCTACAACGCAATTCGTCTTCAGAGTTTACCACACAGACTTTCGCTAGATCGATGGTTCATTATCTGACTTAGGCGACATCGATTTTCTCGAGAGTCCTGATCTTGTTGGTCCTCGCGATGCCAATGGCGATGTCCACGTTAGCATCCACGGACACGCTCTAACAAGGTGTTACATGTGCTCGGAACGTGTCGCCGTATCCATCGATTCATCATCGATTGACACCTTTGATAGATCTGGATGGTGCGAGTGATACAAAAATAAACGAATTTTATCCTCCATAATAGCTGCGTAACCGTATTGCTGTTTAATAATGAAACTTCGCGGTTTAACAAGCGGCCTTCAGCTTCGAGAACTGGTTTCCTTTACATCGAAGAATTTAATCAAATCGATACTTCTTTCCTCGAATATCGAATTTTCAATATTAAATTCCAGTTTACATCGTATCATTCCAAATTTCAATTATCCATCAAAATACAGAATATTTTACTACACCATTTTCCTGCTAGAAAGGAAAGTAAAATAAATAAAACGAGAATCCGAAGAATTTTAATTCACTGAAATTTAATAGCTTCACCTTCTAAAATAATTAACCCTCTGCAGGAAAATAGTAATTCGAAGGCTTTCTGCCATAAAGTCGACGATATTTTTAAAACGGTAAATAAGAAGCCGTATGCAAATTAAGACGTAAAATTATTTTACTTCGATATTCCATGCATCGTTGGGTAATTGTAAATTTATATTTTATTTAATATTAATTAACATCGATCTTTAGAATATGATTAAATGGCGACTGAGAGACTTTGCCTCTCGAGTGCAAAGGGTTAAAAATAGGGAATACCTATGCAAAGCGCCATTCGCGATTTCGTGTGCCAAAAATTAAAAAAAAGAAGGTATTCCATAGAAACGAGTTCCACACGAATTCACCTTCCATTCGTCACCCTCTATTTATCACAGTTCCATAATTTTATCACTCGATTCGGTCGATGCACGCGGTCCGTTCGCACCTTCGTCACTCGCCACATTCTGCACACCGATACCCGAAGCCATCGTTCTCCACAGACCTTCGAACACGAATTCGATCGTCCGACAGAAACCTCGCATTATACGCCTTCCGATCGATTACAGTTTACAAGCGAAAGGACACAAAGAGACGGTTTCCAGGCCGGCCGAGGAATTCCCCGTCGCATTCCTGGGACACAATGTCCGGCGATTACGAGTGTTACAGCCAGCCGTAAACCCTTCGAATTAACGAGGGGCTCGGCTAAGAATTTTCGAAATAATAGCGCTGCCGTGCTCGCGGCGATCGATCATAATCCATCGCGGTTCCGGGCGCCATTAATAAGCCTTCAAATTGACCGGAACGCGGGGGTACTTAACCAAAAGCGTGGATATCGATCTGAATTACGAATCTAGATTAGTATTGCCGAGGAAAAGATCCTGACACGAGTGAGAAGTCGTTGGAGGTTCGTGTTAAACTATTTACTGTATTATGGCTCTCTATGTGGTATTTCAGTCTTTTCTTTTAATTTAATATCGATCTGAATTACGAATCTAGATTACTCTTGTCGAGGAAAAGATTCTGGCGCGGGTGAGAAATTGCTGGAGGTTCGTGTTAAACTATTTACTGGATTATGGCTCTCTATGTGGTATTTCAGTCTTTTCTTTTAATTTAATATCGATCTGAATTACGAATCTAGATTAGTATTGCCGAGGAAAAGATCCTGACAAGAGTGAGAAGTCGTTGGAGGTTCGTGTTAAACTATTTACTGGATTATGGCTCTCTATGTGGTATTTCAGTCTTTTCTTTTAATTTAATATCGATCTGAATTACGAATCTAGATTACTCTTGTCGAGGAAAAGATTCTGGCGCGGGTGAGAAGTTGCTGGAGGTTCGTGTTAAATTATTTACTGGATTATGGCTCTCTATGTGGTATTTCAGTCTTCTCTTTTAATTCTGCGAACGAGCTAACTCCGTGAGAATTAACTCCGTAATTCTGCGATCTATGGATTTTCCTTGCATTTTTACTTTGACAGCTTTGATTTATCATTGAGATTGATAAATCAATTGGGACAGCTCGAGAAGGTAATGCAATTTTAATTTTAATGAGGTATATAATAATCACTATTTCTTAATTTGCATAAAGAAACGCGAAATTCGATTTTTGTATATTGTATAATAAGTCAATAAACGACATTTTTTTTAAATTATGTTCTACGTGAAGATTTTATTATTCTTACGCCTTTCAAAAATTTACACGAATTTTCAGGGTAATTCTAGGGCTTCCAAATTTTCTCCAAATCATGTACGCGAGTTTTATTGAAAATATAAGAACATGGAAAATAGAGAATCGCTAATTTAATTTTCTGGTGCTATTTTCAGGCTAGTAGAATAATTTTAGTATAGGCAAATACTGTAACGTGAAATTTTATACGAATATTTTGCATCATTTTAATAAAATCAACGACTCGACAATGAAATCGCGATTGGATGTAAGAGATGGAAGTGGGTTAATATCGTAAAATGTGTTGAGATTCTAGGGACTCTAAAAATGGTATAAATCCGTGAAGAAATATATGGACATAAAACCGAGGAGGGAAATAATTCGGTAGAAATTTGGACAAGATTTCGTTGAAGGGCTATAACTTAGAATATGTGGTGAACATAATTGATTTTACCAGGTCCATAAACAACTATTGGAAACGACCCTTTGGTTAATATTCTATCGTGAGCTTAACCCCTATAAGTATAATCCTCTTAGGCCTCTATTTAAAGTTTTAGCGAGCAGATTGAACCGCAATTCCAAGCAATTATCGAAATTAGTTTCAGCAAATTATGGGACCATAAAATATGAATGATTAGAAAGTATAGGAGCATAACGTTGCCCTTCCTATTCCCTGGAAATTCCTTACGAAATCGTTTCTACCCTAATTTCAATACGCCCGTTTATCTCTCGAATTTTTCCCATCAAATCTGTGCTCTTCGAATTTTAAAACCTGACATACCGCATGTAATAAAAATTTACTGCAACTGTTCACTAAATCCAGGTTAATCCCATTAAATTTATTAATTCAATTTACTTTTGTTTAAAAGAACACGAAACTACACGAAGTCACTTTTCTCGAGAGAAAATTATAATTTATTAAGATTATAATTAAAACTACAAAATTAGAAATTAGAAAATTGGAAATTAAAATTATAATTATTAAATTCTCATACCGATATGATATAAAACAAATTACGTAGATTTCTATCTGTACTGTAAATTCTCTGTCAAATCAATAAATATGTTTCCTCCAAAAAATATAAAAATTAAAAAATGATTTCTAATTTCTAATTTTTACTTCTATTATTCCAATCAGCCTTTTTATCTTCCTATATCGGTGTCAAATCTTTAAAAATACCACTGATACACAAATGCCATTCTTAAGACAAATAAATAAATTACAAATAAATAAACCTAAATTCATTTAAATTAAAAACTTAAACAAAATTTAATAAAATGAAAACTGAAAATCTGCTTACTGTAGATTAATTTAGAATCATTCTATACGATTGTTTCACGTTT